TTTCTGAGTCAAGGTTTCCGCCAACCGTTATTACGCCGCTTCAAATTTATTTTGTTGTCTCAGCAGAATTTTTTTCAACCCTTCAGCAGTTATTGTCATGATTCCGTGGGTTTGGGTATCGCCAATCTGTTTTATCTGAAACAGCTTTATTACAAACAAGCCAGTGAGTAAAAAAGTACAACGGCCTTGCGCTATATATTCAGGGGGCACTGTCTGACCTTGATCCAAGACTGTTTGATCGGCGTTGGGTGGCGTTTGAGGGTTTCAATTGGTTTCGGGTATTCTGGGGTAATTTTCAGAAATCTGGCCTTCCTGACAAATAGGATCAAAGAATTAATGTAAGAGAAGCCTTTCGATATCAGTGGGATCAGCCGACAGCGCATGACTGTCAATTCACTCTTGGCACACAGAGAAACCAAATAGATGAACACCAAGATTAAGTTGCAAAAGCTTGGCTACCCAAAACAGTCAGCGTTTACTCGCAGTCACTCGCCTCCGAGGTCAGTCACATCGATATCCAGTGGACATATTCATGATGAATCCAGCGAGACCTTCTTTGGTAAGGCCAGTTCAGTCAACTTAGCTCCGTTATTAATTTCGACATTCTCAAATACAGGGAATCCAGGAATGCACCAAATCTTCATCGGGTTACCATATTATGACCTAGAAATGCTCCAGATGGTAAGAATTTAGCGGTTAATTCATCGCTCCCTTTGTAAGTCTAAATTATTCGTCAGTAATTCTGGAGAATGCCGGATCTTCAAAAAAAACGTCATCGGATGCATTATCGGAACGTCACTTCAGGTTGTCGTTGGTCGGCATACGACCGAACCGATTCGGTAAAATGAATAATGTCAATATCTCTTGACAGGCTGCATCCAGCAATTTCTTGGACGATTATTAAATTTTGCCATGTTCCGAATCTTACGTGTGCCTCCGATAATTGTCGAAGTTGTTTGCTGACAGAACTATGTCGATTCTGTCACACTATTGTCACACTATCTCTCAATCTGTTTGCACGTCATTCGAATGAAAACAGTGTGCAGTGTTTTTTCCTAATGGAAAACAATGTAGTCCTAATGGCAGTCCCCCCGCCTTCCATGCGTTGTTGGGACATGAAAGAACAACGTGGCCTTAATACAAGAGCGAGAAAGCTATACCGATTTTCTTGAAATCTCTGTTCTAGATGTGTGTTCGGATTTCCGAGGCACCGACTGAAGTAGTGAGACGCTACTTCCCTAGTTACTCTGACTCATCTGTACTGTATCACACTCGTTTCGAGACTCCGTTTCGCCTGGTCACATGCTACTTAGTGGGAGTGAACACCGGTCTTCCAAGTGTAACGTTCCTTGTTCTTACTCAAACCCCACAAGCAGAGTTATTTACTAAGGCGTGGTTACACTACAGCTACACTCAAAAGCGGCGATGCACACCATTTATTGTCGTCGGACAAGACAAAAATAACTGCGGCCAATCGATCTCAGGTTTATTTAACTTTTGCCTTCAAAGAACTCTACCTTTTCCCTTCATAATCCACCATTGTCCTGATGTTTTCCGCCATTTTCCGATCTGACTTCCGCGGAGGAGTGACTTAGCTGAGGGCAATTCGCCCTCAGCCTCGCCCGTGCACCAAAGATGACCAAAGATTCCCATCAGCTCCCCCACCCACTCCCGTCGTATTCGATCCATACAGCAAATTCGCTCTACTCACGTCTACACTATAGCTATTCGAAGAAGTAAGGTCCGGCTACGAATAGGTGAAGAATATGGGGGCCGAAAAATCTAGTTGAAAGAGCTTGTTCAAGCCGTTTTGGTCGGAAGCGAATCCTTGGGCAATCAGCTTGATTCTCGAGCATTGTACAAAAAGCTTCAGTCAATACAGCGTGAAGACCCATAGTGCATTGGCGAACCCAAAACACACCTCCCATGCTCATGTGCACAGTTGAAACCGACCACGGAGAGTGTGAATTTAGACAGGTAGTGATCCCACTAACGTTAGTCCGTAGTTTATAGTTATGCATACCTGTACTGGTGAGAAATGGCCGCAACGGACTCTATTTGAGACATATTTGAAGTGGTAACGTGACTTCGGGTCAAAAATGGACGTAGGTAAGACCGAGCAGTTCAGTGGGAAGCAAAGTTTGATGCGAAGATTATCAAAATAACGGGGACATGAGATGAGAACCACCAGCTTGTTAAGTTAGTTAGTGGGTTAGTTTACTTCAGCTCGTTGCCAAAGTATTTGGGTATACAGTCTCAGCGCTCGTTGATTTGATGTAACTAATCGTAACTTTTACCTCAGAAACCTCCGAAATCCGGATTTCGCTCTGAAGCTCTAACGAAAGTTTCATATAATTGATTGAATTTGCTGAAGCCTTTTGTAGAGTAGCTGCTCCTCGTTCATCAGTCCAATCCGAAGAACGAGTATACGGCGAGCTCAGCAGCACATCATCCACAGGCAAAGCATGCAGTGACTTTACGCACGAATAAGGTTTAATCAAACTACATTTGGTAAAGAATTTCTGGAGAGTGCTGCTTCTCCGGAGGTGAAGTTTACTGAGCGTGATCACAAGACGCCGTCCCAAGGCTCTTGATGTTTGATTCTGTCAAGGCTATCTGACTTCCTCCCACGTTGCTAAATAGGACTAGGGGGCATTTTCAAGTCTTCCAACTATTGACGTTGCAGTGCACAGCGGAGTAAAATACGTGTGAAATCTTCTAGATTGTTCCGTAATACTTGGGAACCAACGGGATAGTCGTCAAGGTTAAGTCGCCGTCGAACTGCGGACGAATGGCCGCATTGTATCAACGTGTCTTATAGGTACACACGATTCAAAATCCTATTTTGGACCGCAACTTTGTCTAACCCCATTCACTGAAGCACTGCTAGGTTCAAACTCCTTCGGAGTGATGGTCTTTAATTTCTATGATTTTTCTTACTACACCTTTGTTCGGTGACAGTTAAGTAGTCTCTTGAGTACATAAACTCAGTAGTGTATTTGATGTGTCTCTTACAAGCGCCATGCTTTTTGGTAGATTCTATATGGCTTAGCAAATTATGACCGCATCTGTCAAACCTGCAGTGTTGGGCTAAAACCACATGATCTATAGGCTATACATCAGTATAAGGGGATTTTGCGGGAGTTGAAGAACCGAAGAACCATTCGGAAACCTTGTTTGTGTCCACTGCGAACAGAAATTACCGAATAGCGCTTAAATGAACGGGAAAACAATAAGAGGGCTTCCGAGAACTTCAGCTATGTTTATTGGGCGAGAAAATTTGCTTGCAATATGACAGCTACGGTGGGAGCTGTCCACTCAGGTAAACAAAGATGTGGAATATAGAAACCTTTTAGGTCAAAATACACCGTAGTGGAATATAATGTCACAATCCGACGTTTCGTTTGCCGTTTGCAACCTTTTTAAAGGCTTTCCACAATCGGTTGAAATTCATCAAGACAGGTCATACATTACCCACGGCAACCGAAACGTTGTGTTACTACATTTTATTCAAACACACTGTTTTGACTTTAAAAGTTTCCATAATATAAACCACATGGTACTCAATCTTTTTAGCAACATCCGAGCCATTTTCGACCAGGAACTCCGAAGATGTGGAATCCTCATAATGCACTGAATCGAATGACGACTTATATATGCACACGATATTTTTGAAATACAATGTGTCCTGTCACCCGGCTCGCGGAGCCTTAGCGATATGGTAAACCGACTGGCGGCTGGAACGTGTTTGTCCATTGTTGATGTAAGCCGTTCCTTGATTTGTGGAAGGTGACACGTTGTTCAGCAAGAGGAGCTTCTGTGCACCTTTTCAATCTTGAGACTCCTACCAGTGTCGTTGTCATCTTGGGGATTTGAGACAACTTTGAATCACGTTGTGGCTTATAATATTCGGTGACCACATCACATCTGTCTGACAATATCCATGAGCAGTCAATCAGTTTCGCTCGCCTCTTTAGAACATTTATCTCTGTGGCTGTGACCGATCAGTTTATTATAGTTAATTCATCATAGACCAATTTATCACGGACCCTATTTTTGCAGGCCAACTTTTCGCTGCCCACGGCTTATCCCGATCCGATCTGAACTAGCCTTACGCAGTGTATAAGTAAAATGTAATAGTTAATGGACAGTTTTGTTCACGCAGTGAATTTGCTGGAAGTTGAAGATAAACGACGGTCCGCCTTCCCCTTTCGCCTCAGGACGTCCGTTTTCGGGATCCGTAATACTTGGACTGTTATTGTCAGGATAGTAACTCGGACACTGCTTTTTTCAATCAACCGCCTTTTGTCTTTCTCGGTTTCCATTTGAATCTGAGATCATGGTAAGATCAGTGCGCGCACTGATGACGTCTCCTGGACTAGTGACGAACTTTTGCAAGTTAATTGCCAAGCTTGGCGAACAGATGAACAACCATCGGATCAAAGATTACCGTATGTAGCTCAGGTAGTGTTGACCACAAAGCCTACCGTGTTTCGATCAATACGGTTACCCTGTTATCGAGGGGGGCAAAGCGTGTCGCTTTATGCAACAGTCAAACTATTTGGTCGATGGGGGGATTTCAGCTCGATTACTTGGTCACATTGTAGCTGGGTGAAATTTGTTTGTTGTCCAAAGAAATAACTTGTGTAAGGGTGGAAAACGATCCGCGTCCGGTGAATTCAGCGTCTTTCTGTTGCCATTGCTTTACACGCACTGGCTCACCAGGACGATTGGGGCACTCGTCTTTGTGCTCTTGGTGCTTTTTCCATGTTCAGGTGATTCACGTTTACTATTTTCTTGGATTTGTTTGTACTACCTTGCTTCTCTCGGGTAACTAACCGATCGACCAGGTGGTGCCAGGTGATTTGTTCGTAGCTGCTCCATGCACAAGGTGACCTTTTACCCTAACCCAAATGTCACTTTGTGTACATGCTCTGGAGTATAGCCGTCGAACTGTCTCATCTACCTTCATTTAAAGCGCATCTGTTTTTCTCCTCCAGTCGCTTCATTTGGTCACCGGAGTATGCGGAATACCAGATTGAAGGTCTTCCAGCCATTCCATTTGGTCAATTGTTGTACGCATTCAGTACTGTTCAACCAAATATGAGGAAGAGACGACAACAGTTGATGGAATTCCTACCAGAGAATGCCTTTGCTCTCACGCTCACTGTCTTTCCAAGGTGAGCTTTGGCTCCCGCAATTTTCTTCCACTGTGGAGCGTTTCGTTTAACACCATCTAATCTCATTCCTCTACAGCACAATCGGTAGTAGTCCGGCCTTTATCCCATCGTTTGAGTCCGTTAACAGAATGTGTAATTCGGTGGGTTTTCTTTCGTTTGACACACACAATATCCCTTGTTGCGTTAAAAATGCAACTCAGCGTTCTTTGTTTTTGATACGTATGGTCAAGCAATAACTGGTTCACACATCCAAACGTATGAACCTACCGCCAGCTTTGACGGGGTACCTTTGTTTCAGACTGCTCTCATTCTCTTAGCTTCATTCAGTTCATGGAGACATCAACCGATAGTCCCTCTTTATCTCGATACGGGTAGACAGACTGTTGTCCTCTCCAGATCGCTTAATTTTGATTGATAATATGGGCGCCCGAAGAGCATCTCCCGTATCCACTGCATATTCAGTGGGAGAATATTATGGACATGTGATGCTCACGAGACTTACCCGAATCCTGTTCGACAAAATTTTGTTACAAAAATCGTTATCGGTTGTTACCAGTAGGTCTGTTTCTTTAGGCCACTTGAAAACCTCCTGCAAATAAGAGTTTTATTATTTACTTTTGAACCTTTGGCATCGTGCGCCACCACACCCAATGAACCGAGAATAACATATTGGGTCTGTGCTTCGTTTTTGTAATATCACTGCACGACTATGCACCTTGTGCTCAGATCGTTAGCGGAGTACTTCGTTTTAGAATTCGATGATGTGCAAGTTGCAATTCATCAGTTCATCACTAAATGGGTGTGTCGGTTCTAAGCAACACTAAGGGTTTCTCATGGAGGTTAACGCTTTTTGTGCATCTGGTACGATGAGAACTTTAATAGTGTTGTTAGTCTCTCTGCTTCAGCCATTAGGTTCAGCAATTCGGTAAGGAGCAGGGAGACCATCTTCTTCCGTGAAGACTTTATGAAGTAACACAACGGCTGATTAGTTGTTGACGTCGAATGGCTTGGTTTTCCGATCAGAATGTTTGGAAAGCTAATGGGAGTTCCCTACAGAGGTGCCACTATGGAGGGAAAGTTCTTTGTAAGGTTCCACAAAGCCACTGCCCCATCAATCCATTTCATACAAAGCGACATCCACACTCAATAAGAAAGCGGTGTGACATACATAAACATGAGAAACAGAACTGCACACAGGACTGGTCAAGTTAGAGGTCGGAGTTTATTTTAAGGCTCAACCAACTACGAACCATTCGATTCTCACCGGTCCCGAGTCGTTTAGCGGAGTTGGTGCAGCTAGAATTGTCAGATGTTTTAGGGACGAACCCACAGGTGTCCCAGCGTTGACAAACCCAAGTTCTTGTACGGAATATCCACGGAAATATGTTGTCAAGATCCACCTTCTACTAACCCTCTTAAATGCACGAAAAAGATGACTTCTGTGGTCTTGATTTTTACCACTGTTCAACATTTCCGCCTTCCGCTTATGGTTCGTCCGGATTGTTTTGTGTAGAATTCGCGCTCGCATCACTCTCATTTGAACAGTCGTCCTCCTGTCCTAGCACAATTATTCTGGTGAGCGCACACCATATAGTTTCTCACTGACATGCGAAACATGGCATGCTGTCAAAACAACCGTACACGGTAGTAATAACGTAACTAATGTGTATGTCCTTCTAATGACCGTCAACTGCCAATGGTTTATCACTTCATAAGCGCACTCCATCACTCAGGTCCTTCAAGGTAAAGCCTCATTCTCCGACGAGCAATGTGGAAATTTTAATGCCAGAACCCAGCCTCGTGGAGTAAGGTGTTATGAACTGATTTTCATTCGGTTGATTCGATTCTTCAGCTAGTAACTACCGAGCGTGAATCAATCGGTACATAGGTTTGAAAAATAGGTTCATCTTTATATGGACTGTTGCTTCGTCTATCAACGTAGGGGCCGAGATGGCTCAAATGGGTAGAGCGTGAATTTACTAACCGGAAGGTCCGTAGTTTGAGCCCAACCTCTACCTCTCGACTTCCCCTGTCTAGGCTTGGGCAACCTGGTAGTATCTCAGCCCTCATGCTTCCTTCGGGTTGCATGGCAGCTAGGCACCGAAAGGGTGCTACAGCTGAACGATTTATTTATTATTTCTATCAATGTAACAAGTGCTTTTTTTAGCCTAGTCGGGGGCAAGCCACATGACCCGCAATCATAGGATCGGTCGCCCAGTCAAAAGTTAATATATCTATTCGACTATCAGTGGACTGAAAAAAACTTGATGTCTTCATCGTCAGCATATGCTCACTAGTTCGTCAGTGCAATTGTGACGATAACTATAGCTGCATCGTGCACGGTCAAACTGATGATGTTGATTTAGCTACTCTGATTAACCTGGAAACTGAGGGAGTCGATCGGCTTCAAAAAGATCAGTGCATTTCTAATGCACGGGATGAAGACGGAGACAATTTAAATTTGTTGGTTGTCCTGCTTGTAGATTTTTCAGTGAATTTCTTGATGCTGCGACAAGTAGTAGACTAAATTAGCAATGGGGCGCACACCTCACCTTAAGCTCTCTAAAGTGCCATCGAGGCGCTGGCACTCCACTACAGTCCTTGAACACCCCCAGCCTTCTGAATTTAAGGGAAACCACCGTGGGATGATATCACTTCCGTTGATGTACGATGATGAGTGATGGTCTGCTCGGGACTGGCATACGATGGATCGAACTGGCTATAACTCGAGCCTGCCGGGCGCCACAGGATGCAGTTTCACTGAAGATTCTCACATCACCGTAAGCTTCCCTGGGTCGTGTTTAGCTGTCATAGTTTGAGCTTTTCGCCTCATGAATACCGCTTGACTTGAAGGTCAATTTCATTCGCCGTACTTACTGACTGTGAACAGATTTTGGATTCCGTACATTTATACATGGCCCTGTTGGTTATGTGACCAGTCATTGTGCGTTCGATCTCCGCACCAGTTATACTTTATCACTTTCGGAACACCACATCTGCTACGTATGGGAACCGTACGTACGTGGATGTAACTACGCCATACTCTTGGTGATCTTTCAAGCTGACTATTTTCGTGTGTTTTCGTTATTTTTTTTTAAAACCGGCTCACTCCTGGAGATATTCAAAAATCCAGAAATTTATTTAGGCATGAGTACCTAGAGCGTGATCGAAGAAAACTTTTAGTAGTGTTATTGATTTCTTTGTGCCCCAGAGCAGACTACTTGTCAGAACAGCAACAGAACTTTTTATTTGAGTCCTTTCATGGAAACCCACATGTCTACTTTGTTCTGTTGTTCCAACTTGAAGGCCGTTTACATGGTTCTTTCCGTCGACTTTGTCTCTTCCATCAAAATAGGTTGGGATGTCCTGAATTCTCTTACCCGCCTGCTAATCCTACTCCTGCTGATGGCGTTTCCAAGAGTCTTTTCTTCCCAGATCCGGCCATAACACAGCTGCATCCTCGGTTCAGGTAACTGTACTCATGTTTTCTAGCTACATTCGTTCACAGCTAATTGTTTGTCAGTTTAATTCCAATTACATAGTTTATTCCGATAGCTGTGAAGTCATTACGTTGTTCACAGCTGCTAAGGCCCCCAACTCCGTATCTAAAGGTTTGGGTGCCTGTTCTCAGCCAGAAAACCCGGCCATTCTCCGTCACGCTCCTTTACCCCTGTTGACCTGGCCTCAAACCCATACCTTCCGCGGGTGACATTACGCCAAAACGATGCGACGGATGAACGCATTGCTATACTCGTTCGTTCGACTTAATTACGATTAAGATTTATCAGTTCCAATGGTCTTGTTTCCGTATGTTACCAAAGCTCACTCGATGGACAGCTGAGTTACACTCCACTTTGAGTAATTCGCTCGAGTTTTTTGGAGCGGCCCAACAGTGTCATTTATTTTCTTTGATTTGAGTCTTCATTTTTCTGCCGGTTTACCCAATGTATATGCAGTCACGGTCGGTACAGTGAGTGCTTTAGACAGTTGTGACGGTCGTCGGATTGAAGGGGGTGTTTCGTGCAAACCGGTTTTCTCTTCAGTATGTTATCCAGTTGGAAAGTGGTGCTGAATCTGGAGAGTACGTAACGGGTACTTTCAGACGTGCTGCCCATACGGAATTCACATCGTGTCAATTGGTTTTACCCTTTATCTGATTGATGTTTCCGTTGGTTAGCTAACGAAACGTCTTGCTTCCAACTGTTGTTTAATTATGGATAATCTGGCTTTCATACAACTATTTCACTGAAGACCATATTCGCTCACTTGGCCGTTGTCCGAATTATTGCGCAGGGGAATCAATGGCATCAGTCTCCTAGTAAATCTGGCATTTGAACGTGAACACAATAGATCGTAGGTATCATTCCACACCCCGTATAATCTGTGCATATTCAACGTATTATCCTCCTCTGGAAGGCGTCTTATCTCTTGGAAGCTATCAGCGATGGGACAACCAGTACAAAACGAAACAAGTCAAAACCAACAAAAGTCTTATCGTCATCAAAGGTTTGGTGCTCGTGTGAATTTTCATCGGGAGCCAACAATCCACAGCGCCTAAACTCCTTCAGCCCCTTAAAACTCTCTTCAGTGTTGACCTATCAAAACCTGCATTTTTCCCTATTACAAGCTTGCTAATGAAAGCTGCTTCTATGATCTTTTGCGCGAGGTCACTGAGCCTAGGGTGTCACACAACAACCGGCGAAAATATTGATCGTTCTATCCTCCAGTGGACAGTTTTGATCGTTTATGTCCATGAAAACTGACGTTGTGAGGTGTTGTTCTTCATGACCCTTTCAACAGCACCCCTCGAATCGTCGTGCACAAAGCAGTGCTGTGCGCCCTGAACACTACACGTCAATTGGTTGAGCGAAGAGTTGAATGTCATCATCTTCCACAATCAGCATGTAGGTAGTCTTGAGACTCTGCCCAGCACACCTTTGACACACCTTTTTGGAATGACCAGTCATGAATATCGTTCTGGTTTTTATTTGAATTGAACCTGCAACTTTGTGTTACTGTGTGATACTAGAGAAGGATGCTTCCAGCTGTACGCTGTTTCTTAGTCTTTTTGGAAAACTTAGCTTTTCATCAAACATACTGGTGTGATGTGATCGACAGACTTCATAGTTCAACAGCGAGGGACGTTCTAATTGTAACTTTACTCTGTCTTTTTTCTCTTCATGAATTCCGAGATTTGATTGGTTGCATATACTAACCAAGCAGTTTTGATTCTTTCTGTGCCCTTCCAGAACGCTCACACGTACTATTCGCGAGCGACGCGGTACGAAAGTTGCCATCAACGTGCCTAGTGCGTGGAATAGAAGTTTCTTACTGGTTCTAGTTTTTCAATTTTAAATGACAACAGTTTTGTACACACAGGGTGAACACACTCCTCTTGAATTGAACCGACGCGTTAGGCAATTCTCACAGTGTACCGCGTCCCTCGCGTCACTTTCGACTTGCTAGATTGCAGATGGCATTGGTACCTGCGGCAACAGGGATTCCATTGTAGTAGCATGGTTCCAAGCCTAGACAGGGGAAGTCGAGAGGCGGAGATCGGGTTCGAACCACGGACCATCCGGTCAGTAAATTCGCGTTCAAACCACTTGGGCCGTCTCGCTCCTTTGGTGACTCCGTGTCCACTATCTGGTTCCCCTTCAGATTTCATCCAACATCGCCTTAGTGTGGTCTTCACGAAATCGATGACGACGATTGTAATCCTCGTCGTTTCATTCTTTTTCGTACACGTGCACTTTTACTACGAAGACCAACATCGGATTGTGTACTTGTAATTTGTAACCTTGGTCCTGAACTGTATCACTGATGTTAGGGATATGATAGCTCACCTCCCCGCCTGTCACTATGACAACTTCATCCAGTGAAGCATTCCTCTATTGGCTACCAGTCGCACTGTGTGTTATAAGGTATGGACAAATGCACTTGCTTTCTGTGAACAACCTCGTCCGTTGTATTGTGGTGGCCATGACTACCGTCTAACTAGCTTAAAGAGTGCGTCATAGTATTCTGTGAGTGGTGGGAACTAGCTATATTGCTGACGCAAAATAGGGATTCGATACAGCTCAACACGCTGTTGAGGAACTCAAAGAAACTGCATACTTATAGACGCCCACTCCAGGTGAGCTGGATCTCGAAAAAAAGGGCGCATAACATTTGAAGAATGACTGGCAATACCCAAAGCTTGATGATGCCAAGACACGCAGAAGATTGAAGTAGGACAGTCTGGTAGTCTACGGACCCACTGGCTGCATGGTAGCTGTCCACTACCTCTGATCGTTTTGACTTGATTCTGAAGCTCCACTGTGTGGGAGCCGGGAACCTGGACCGTATGTCATTTTTGACCTAACCAACGGTTGACACGTTTGAACAGTCAGTCATTGTTTTGTCTCGACTGGCATCCATTTAAACGAAGGGGCTGATAATTGCGAGGCGGTTCGATTGGGATTGTGTAAAGATGCGTAGGATCCTCGAAAAACTCGGAAAAGTGAGGCGTGTTCTCCTCATTGGGAAACTGCTTAGGTATGGAGAAAAGGAACGGTCATACCAGAGGCCTACGGCTTCCAGCTAAAGGTGCACTTGTTCAGAAAACTCCTGATAAAAAATGAGTTTTTGCCAACCGAACAAAAATTCCAAGTTAATGGTTCGATAGTTATCAGGATCTATCCTGAATGATCAGTCACTTCGGATGAAACAATCTGCTTATTCAGGCTACCGACAAGCTTTAGGACCAACGTTCAGGCCAGATTGACAAGGCGTTTGTGCAGTTCAAAAACTTCTCCGGTAGATGCGCAATCACCAGTATTCTGCAATAGATTAGGCTATTTTGAACCCAATCTATTCGGATGAAAAGGAATATACAATGAAGCTCATTTTGTGCACCCATTTATAAACCAATCTGATCGACAGTTCTAGACAAGTACCCTCAGTATGTTGACTGGTCGAAATTCCGAACGAGAGTAAAGTCGAGGGCCTCGCTGCCGAACTAGAGTCGTCGTAACAGAGCATATATGAACGACGGTCAACTATCATATATAATTAGAGTTAATCGAAAACAACCGTGTGCAATCCTAGGGTTATCTTCGGACCGTAGATAAAACATACAAGTGACCTGGGAAACCGTGGATAATCGGAACAAGCTGATCGAAGCAACAAGTCTCTGTGTTCGTAACGCAAACGGATAGTCGACTGGAACCTGAACATAACCCAGATGGCGAGCGCCAACTATCTTCATAGTAGTTGGTAATTAAAATTCAAAGTCAAATGAATTTGGGAAATTCATAATAACGGCCTGATCATGAACAAATGTGACTTTCGTATACACGAGAGGGTGAATTTGATGTGTTTTTCTTTTTAGGTTACTACTTTTAAGTATAGTTATTTGGAGCGGTTGAAAATCGTGCCTGGATTAAACAGACACATTAGGCCGTAGAAAGTCTGTTGATCGGGTTTGTCTGTTCGAGCAGTGTTTACCTGTCGCATTTGCGACTGTATTCTCGTTCAGCTGTTCGGAGTGATTACATAACTTCACGTCGGTGGTTGGTCGGCCTCGTGCCGCCGTTGTTTTATGCCGTTCCATGATTACGTAACGAAAGGCGGAACCATGACATTTGATTTCCATGTTTTTGTGGCTCTGTCGTGCAATCGACCGATTGGTTTCAGGTCGGTTACTCGAGTGGAACCGTTGTTCGGGACGTAGGACTAACCAATCGCATTGCTGAGGCATATATACCGTCAGGTGCGCCCAGTGTGCGCTGCTGTGGTAATCGTGTATTAAGTGTCTGAAAGTGAAATGCTGGGACGACCAAGTAGATACAGCAGTGATTCCATCCATAGTAAGAGGGCGACTCGAGTCCAGCGCCTCTGCTTGTGTATGCAGCAACCAGAATAAACGATTTCGTACAGCAGGAGAACGATTTACACGTGTGAGGTGAACAGAATTTTAGCATGTGCTTCACACGAAGCGCGTTCTGATGCGCCCGCACGTCTGTGTATGAAGGTTGTTGTTGTCAATATGTACATCGAGGCGGACTTGTATGAAAATGATTCCTTATTTCTCCCGAACACGAATGGCTTAGCGGTCGAATTCCCATGCACTCCGTTGGCGATTTCGTTTTAGATCGTGCAATCCCCAAGTCTCCGGACCGCCGCGCACAGTTTTATATGGCTCACGACCACATCAGGAGTTTTAATATTATGTGGAAAATATGCTGCGTGTTTTCCGGTGGTTACCTGCTCATGGATGTATGATGGTTCACGTTTACACCAAACACCTTAGTTAATGAGTATGTGTTTCGTATGAAGTTAGCTGAGTAAAAATCGTCACCGCCACCGAATTCGAAGCCGTTACCATCTGAATAGACTCATCACCACCTTAATGCGTCCCAGTTTCTCTCATAAGGTGTGTTGATAGACCCTTGTGGGAGCTCGTTAGAAAACCTGAAGTGTCTCAGAAGAAATTTGGGATGATTCTAAGTCAATTCGAAGTGTCCCACGGTGGTTTTCTGGAACGAAGCCTTTCAACACATCTTAACCAACTAACAGTATTTAGTGAACCACACCTTGATGTACGTAATACGCAAGCCCTGAATCAATAGGGTGATGAACCTCTATATGATTACAGCAGTTGTCTTATGTATCTCTTGCAATGACGGAAAGTCGTCAGATGAGGCCCTTTTCACTCTGTGCGAACCTTTTTGGAAGAAAAGAGCAACTTCCGTATTTCTTTACAACAGGCACCATTCAGGAGCATCTAGACCGTTTGTATCTTCGAGGCGCTGTTTGCTTGTGCGTTCAGCCCAAGACGAGGCAACTTTCTAACAAGGGCACGAAAGCTTCGTTCTGCATGAATTTTTATAAAATAGACAGGACCGTCGAATTGGTGGATTCTCAGCATTATAGGGATACTGTTGAAGTGTGCAGGATTATCTACTTACTTCAAGTCACCATTTGACGTTCTTCGTTAGTTCCAGTTAGAGACATTTTCCAACACGAACTGTCTTCCTCCAAGCACTCCATGATTTCTTGTACTCTGAGCAATACCTGATAGTCGCTAACAGCGTTTGCTGTGTTCTACTTTATTAACGTGGCATACCAATCCTTGAATGGCCCATTAATGGAATCACCAGATGAAACGGTCCAATACCCTTATCATAATAAGGGTTTTGAACACTACAACAGCCCAGATGAATATCAAATTGTAATCAATCGACAAAATACACTCATTTTCTAATTATGTTAGTGTTAACAGGAGCCCCAGCTGAATCTCTCTTTGGTGATATTCCTCCACTTGATACGCTGCTCAGAGGCCACCTCATGGGCGCCATATTCGAGATATCGAAGAATATGATAAAACGAGATATTTGGCTGAGATTTGGTTGGATCTGCCGTTAACGTGGTTACCTGTTCGTTCATCGGCTGCTCTATTCGCACTTGATTGTAAGCATTTCTTATTCGATTACTTGAAGATTCACATCGAGAAACCTCATCGAACCCCGAAATCAGTTCATTCGAAATGCTTCCTGGGTGGAGGCAACACTACTGTGCTTGAGAAAGATGTCTGTTTCCTGCCCCTAGGAGTGGGGTCACCTAGAGACAGGTCGATGCTAAGTGGGGGCTGCTGTACCTGAACGGAGATTTTTCGGTTTTTGACGACCGAATTCTATTGAGTTTTCAGCTTCGGAGCTCATTAAACGTGGAATATAATAAATCAAACGCAGGTCAAACAGTGCTTTGCATTACTGTTTCAGAACATTAAGTCCTACCGTGGTATCTTCGTCTCATAGCTGTCATGCAAAACGGGCGGGCATGGGGGTTGGGATTCCGTCAGGGTGTGGATACCTAGACAGAGCAGTCAAGTACCAGGCCGTCATCGTTAGTAGCCCGCGAAAATACCTAACATCTAAGCGTTCACGCAATTTCCAAGGGGACAGTTGAACCCCATAAAAATTGGAAAGAGAAATTCCACAGCGAACGTTTTGCAAAATAAGTCATTTTTGCACAGTCTGGCAGCATGTCTTTTTATCTATCATTTTCACTCTTGTGCTTCCTATCCCCCCTTTGTTGTCTTTCTTTTCTCCTATGCGTCTGTCCTCTTCGGCCAGTAACCTTGCCATAATTAAGTGTAGACTTAGATACTTGTTCTAATCCGAAGAGCTTTGCTGGTTACTGTTCAATCATCCTGTGTCTTTTTGAAAAGTGGCGTTATGAGTTTGGCTTCACTTTAATTCCCTCTTTCTGTAGCATTCACCATTATCATGGGGAGGTTCAGTAGCTTTTTAGCGTTGCGGCAGTGCAGTATATTGTGATCAAACTGTACGGTATCTGTTCTCGCTGTGAGGTTTACATGAAACAGCTCCAGCTGAACCAATCGACGGAGCGCGCACCGAGAATTATCAGACTGGAGATATGTTAGAACCAGATGGCCTTGCTGTTCAGTGTGTAGTTTTGCTCAACTCAGATGCCTGATTCATCTCTGTGTGTACTCGATTTTCATCTTACACTTGTTGTACACTATTTCCCCTTCAACTTTCCTTCTTTGTATACAGTCTTCCGCGATTCGTGCACACCAGATCCATTTATCGAGGACTTCTCCAACCTTCATGATGGTTCAGACCCAGATGCGGCCTCAGCTGCCCTCCCAAACCACGTTTACATGGACGCCATGGGATTTGGGATGGGCTGTTCGTGTCTGCAGCTCACGTTTCAGGTTTGTCTGTTATACCTCACGTGTTCTTGTACTGTTTATGTTGGTGGTTAGGTATTCTGTTGTGAATTCGGAAAGGAAATTTCATGTCACAGTAGTTACCATACGGGCCGCACACCAGAGGTGCCCCACTTGATACGTGGAGCCTAAAATAAGCTAGAATAAGTAGGCTTGACGGCGCACCGATGATTTGAAGCGCATTTTTATGCCTTGCACTGTGGATTAGTTAACAGCTTTTTTTCGTTTTCTTTTGTGTTCCAGTCCTGTTGCATCGAGGAGGCGCGTATACTCTACGATCAACTGGCTACCATTTGTCCTATCCTTATGGCATTGAGTGCGGCATCTCCTGCTATTCGAGGATATTTACTCGATACCGACTGTCGGTGGGGTATCATCTCCGCGTCTGTCGACGACCGCACTGAAGAAGAACGAGGCTTAAAAGTAAGTGCTCTGTGTTCAAGTCTGTTGTATGCACAGGTCTGCGAGATAACCGATGCAACTAGCCCCCGCTGAACAATCAGCGAACTTGTACGTGTCCTTCGCTTGTGAGGTCGTTTAGTTTATCGACAGCAAACTAGAATGTGGTTCTTATCGACTACTGCACTAATGAAAACGGCTAACAACAAATGCATAAAATAGGTCACCCTTCTGTCAAATCATAAAAAACTGATGAGGGATTCTGTCATTTTGGATTACGACTTTGGTCGGATCATCATTGTCACCCAAGCGTCAACACTTATGAATTTTTAAGTCTATTCTGTTATTACGGACTGTGAAATCTCTAGAGAGGAAGTGGGGGCAATATAATTGCGGGTTGTGGCGCTGCCAGTCATGAACGTAATATTGGACTCGAAGTTACCGAGTACCGGGGTGTACACAGTATCAGGAAGAAGTCTGAATTGAGTCTGTTCAGCGAATGAGTCTCACATGAGAACGCCGTGGTTGACCGCTTTGTGAATCAATCTAGGGTTGATTAACTGAGTGGGGATATTGTACTCACAAGCTTTTATTTTTATTCAACTTAGCTATGACGTAGATTAGTTCACAGCATTCCGCAGTTCTTGTTAGGATAGCTCAACTGCACAAACTGGAAAAAGATCATTGTAAGTTGTGACGCCTGGCTTCCATGCCATCCAGAGGAACCACAAGGAATGAGGTACTGTTAGGCTGCGGAAGCCTAGACAGGGACAGTCGAGATGAACGGGTTGCGTTCGAACCGCGAATCTTCCGGTAAGTCCCTTTCCCAACCCCTACGCTATCTTGGGCGTTTGACCAGGCAACTCTGAACCGACCGGTTTTGGTTCCCTAATATTTCCAACTTAATGACAAAAATACTCGCACCAACGTAGTGTCGTGATTCGTCTTCATGGGTTTCCGGAGAGTTAGCTCGTTTCCTCCCAGCACACGAGTCATATGCTAAACTCCCTCCCCGCAAGTCGCATCCAAAACGGTTGGTATAATTATGAACTGTCAACGCGTCATAACTAAATACAACGTGTGCTTTCGTGTTTTGTTTGCTAGTCTCGATAGTCATCCTATTAAGTCCCACTTTGCGAACGCGCTCGTGCTCCTCTAGTATACGTCGATCCCGAGCTGTGCTCAATAGATCCTCGTCTGCACGTTCGCTCAAACGCCCAACCATTGAATGATGCTTGGAAACATTGGGAAAACGTGGTGTTCTCCGTGGATAGGGACGGCTGCAGTTCCTGGACCCTAGTAGTCAAGTTTTAGAACTTCCAACTTCTTTGACATTTGACCAAAAAATCTCACTTCATTTCAGTCGAATATAGCATGACAGATATAAGCAGTGAGACCATACTTTATATGCGACTGTCGCATAACTGCTTTCTACTATTATCCGAGAATTCTTCTTGTTGCTGTCCTGCAGCCTTCATTTTTGAACTATGTTAGCAGTTACTTGGAGAAAGGAACCTGAAGGTACACTACGTCACTATTCGGAGCGTAAATTTTTGCCATGTCCTTTTTATCCATTCAGAGGGTTATTTGCATCTCCCTCAACTGATTTACTCCAACAGCCTTTGGAAAAAAATCGCTTTGTGATTCCCAAGTCCCGCTACGACTCGATATCTTCCTACTTGTCCGTCATGGGCCAGGCGTACAACGATATCCCGCTGGTTTATGACCAGGAGTTTTACGAGACACTCATGGCCGAAGGTTTGTCGTTTCATTTTTCTAGTGCTGGTATTTCTTTGTCTGATTGGCACAGATTCAGTGACGTTTGGGTGCACTTGAGTAGTTGCTTGTGCTATGCGATGGGTTGGCTCCCATTGGTTTCTTGATAGAAAATCGATATTATTGTTTTACTTTGCCAATGAAACTTGTTCACCGTCAGAACAGTTTTCTCAGAGCAAGAAAGTTGGCTTACACGGGCTTATATGCTCAGTGCACTAGGTCACAACCTAGCTTTGAACTAATTCTTTCGCAGATCTCAGTCTTCCCCTCATAAGCGTATCAGATATGAATCAAAATTGCGAAATAAATCACTACGAACGAGCGACATTTTGTGCGGCTTGATAATAATAATAACAATAATAATAATAATAACTGTTCAGACGTAACACCCTTTTGGTGCCTAGCTGCCATTCCACCCGAAGGATGCACGAGGGCTGGGATACTGCCAAGTTGCCCAAGCCTAGACAGGGGAAATCGAGAGGCAGAGGTTAAGTTCGAACCACGGTTTGGTACCAATTAGTGAGAATGACGACTACCATTGTTGAATGTATTCGGTGGTTACCACGTTCAGCTAACCATGAAATATTCTCAAGTAGCATTCATAAGCGTCAACTGAGACGGGTATTGGTGCCAACACCAAGGCCCAACAAAGAGTGGATCGGAAGAGCGGTCATTCTATACAGAACAGGGATATCTGAAGTCATTAGAAGAGTGTTAAATACGGCTAACATTAGAGTAGCATTCCAGAAGGGAAAGACTTTACGCGCGGTGTTGGTGCATTTGAAGGATCGCCTTCCGTCGATAGGACTAGGAACTGTGTAAACAAAATACAATGTAACGACGTTCAGAAGGTTTATGTAGGTCAGACAGCCAGGGAATTGCACACCAGAATCGGTGAGCTTAGGTGGTCCATTAATAGACTGTCAAGAAACGTAGATGAATATCAGGCGATAGTCAAAGATTCGGGAATGGCAGGGTATGCATTAGATACTGGGCACAAGGTAGACTTGGAAAATGTGGACATCCTGAGATGGGGTTTAAGATTCACACCACAATGACTGATGGCCGAAGCGGTGGAAATCCCAGCGCAAACAATAGAGGGCGTAGAACTTGCAAGCGTGTGGAAAGCTGTTTTAGATCAGCCGAGATGACACGAGACGATGTGAATTTATCAGCGAAATGGTCTGGGTCCAAAAGTACAAAATCCAAGTAGAGTAACATCCAATTAACCACCGTCAACCCTAAACCAATTGTCCCGGCACCCTTCGATGAACACAGGCGAACGAAATCTGTGAACGACCCCAAGAGGAATATTCCATTGAGGTGACCTATACTGAAAAAGCAAGGACGAAAAATCCGGGTTCGAGATGAAAACAACTCCTCCCTTCTAACCAATCTATCGCTAGTCATCCCCACTAACCAACAAACAGGAACATCAGACTGAACACTCAGCACCGATCAAGTCCGCTAGTCATAAGAAATCTCACGAATTGTTTCCCCGACTGCCTTAAAACCCAATCAAGCTACCTACTTACTCACTGGGCTTTTGTGTCAAAAGCGAAACGTTGCCCAGCAATAAATCCACCGATTGTGTAGCAAACCTCTCTGAAATGATGACTACCCAATCGGTCACAAACATTTTCCAGTTGATTGAAAATCTTTCATATCTTGTTTTTCTTTTGTGGACGTCCTTGTGTTTTAATACACCTTTCCATCAAGTTGAATGCCACTGTTCGGAATATAACCCATCTCACTTTGAGTTGAATCCCATTTGTGTGCTGGTCACCCTTGTTCGCCGACTGTATTCCTGATCTCTCACGTATTCTATTAACCAAACCCTTTATCATTAATTTTAACGTTTCTGGTCTTGCTCACTCTTTTCTTTGAGGTTTGTGGTTCTTGACCACTCTTCCCTCCCTCTGCAACACGCAACCAACAGCAACACAATGCAGCTTATGGGAAAGCTTTATTTTGGAACTCCAAGCAATGAAAAGATTAATCAAGAAACCAGAGTGGAACCAATGTGTTCAGCTGTGGAACTCATTCGAAACATTTCTAGCTAACAACGCGAATGAGCCACTAGTACTGGGATATCATCACAGCTTACTAAAGCCCAAATCGGTACAATCAGAGTTATAATTGGCTGCAAATGAAGAGTGTGTTCGCCTCAGTTGCACAACAAGCCACTGTTAAGTGCAGTTTGCGATGCACTTTACAGGCCTGCGCTATTCACCCGCTTATTCTCAGTTATTCTCTCTATGTCTATGACGTAGGGATGAAGTAAAGGTCGATAGATATATTTACCAAACGGAACTTATTAGTTGTTCAACTCTTTTCTCCCTCGTTTCGCTTCACAGGTGTTGATGACGCCCTGGCCAAGCACGTGGCTCACTTGTTCATCCGTGAACCGGTATCGTTGTTTGAGGAACAACTTGTGGAGAAGGAAAACTCTGTCCAACACTTTGAGGTGTGTTTGTCTCAGAAGAATTTCGCACGCTGTTTTGTCGTTGTTCGTTGTGTTTCTTCAATATCATCCTGACGACCTCACTCGGCCAGACATCTAAGTACATACTACTTACAAAGGTAGTAGCCTCGAGGATAGTCAATCTAGTGTAATATTCTCTTGTCCTTCAATCAATTGTGTTACTCCGTTGTTCGTCCACACTTTGTTGACCCTTATTTGTCTGAAGCGAAAATGCGCACGCCACCGTGTGACCCTTTGAAGGTGATTTTTCACACCATCTGATAGAGTTCCAACTCAGTCATTATAACTGCCCATTGTGTATCAAGTGGTGTGAAGACTAAGATGATTTCAATGCGAGACTCATACAAGATTCTCGTTGTATTGTTATTCATTCGTATGCACCACACAAAGGTCATTTAGAAGTTCATTTGTGGCAGTCCTCTGTTAGTAATCAATGCTTTCGTGTGTAAGTTGTACACAACCTGCTCAGCCTTCTCGTAACTATTTTCTTTATTGCATTAAGTAGGGAACTGTGATTGAGATTCTGTTGGTTGTGCCTTCTGAAAAGCACTGATCGATACTATTCCTGTGGATGACCGATATTTCTCTCTTATACCACATTCCATTGATCTTGAATAAGCAAAGCAACTCCATTCATCCTGAGATGATCGTTGAGTACTGTATCGTCCAGCTGTATCACCCTTTTAGTGCCCAACTGCCATGCCAACCGAAAGAAGCACGAGGGCTGGAATACTGCTAAGTTGCCCAAGCCTAGAAAGGGAAATTCGAGAGGTAGAGGTCGTGTTCGTACAAGGGACCTCCCGGTCAATAAATTCGCGCTCTAAGCACTGGACCGCCGGAACGCTGTTCGGGGGGATAGTGTACTGTTTGTATGTGATGTGCACAGCCAAACAGTCATATTGGCGAGGGGATCTACGAGGAGACCCATCAGATTTAGGAAGGTTGTTATCCTGGGGCTGAGAAAAGGAGGGAGGACCGAGATTCAGAACGGCAGCTATCCAGCATAGATCAGAACATCAGGAAACACATCAGCGTAAAAAGCGGCGTCATATGAATAGAGCACACAAGTGAAACGTTTTCACGATCTGAGCAAATAACTCAGGAATTTGACTGGGGCGAGTTCCGGCAGTGAACATCCGGGAGTAAATTAAGAAAATAATAGTTTCGTCCAACACTAGGAACGTGAAAGAGATTACTGAATGAACTTTGATGGGTCAGGAACCCTAAAGATTACTTGAATGAGTCGAGTTCAGATGAAGAATTGTATTGTGTTCATATGACATCCGCTCTGAAGCTGTTGGCTTTTGTCGCCGGTAACCGCTTGTCTACCTCAGCATTTCTGCAGGAGCAATGGATATGTGCTTAGTGTTGCCGATATTATTGCTTGACTGCTCCGCTAACAATCCATTTTCTGGTCGGTATCTCTATCCTGACAATCTCCACGCTGTAGCGGGGCAAGCGATTGTAGCGTCTTGGCGTCTTTGTGTATGTGTGTGTGTGTGTGCGAACAAACTGCCATGGCCTAACACCGTCCATTGTTGGTGGGCTTGTTCCGTTACCAAACTGCACTCGTTCACTAGTGTTCGCAGCTACGCTACATAGTTAGTGTTGAGTTTTTTTTTGTAGGTTCTGTTGTAGAGCCCAGGATAGGACCTGATAAATTCCCAAGCTCTTCACTGCCCTCCTAGAATGAGAACTAGGCTTGCGGTAAGTAGGAAACACATTATCCATGTAAACGACACTGACCTATAACCGGTTTCCAAAACGTCGGACCAAGACTTATAGTTGAGAAGCAGTTTGTGAGCAGTGGAAAAGACTAGCTTTTGGTTCTTGCGTTTCCAACGTTGTGCTTGGTAGAGGAAGTTTCGATGTAGTTCATGTGAGTCTATGAATTTGGACACATTTTTCACATCTAGAGATTGCAAGTGTCTTTTCACTGGCCGTCAACTTGATACTCATATGCCGGTGTGCGTGAACCCAGCCAGCCCATGACGTTCTCCCAATACTTGATCCCATAATGATGGGTTTGGCTTCTGCTGGGTGACATTCTTCCTTTCGAGGAATCACACGCTAACTCGTTTCTGTTCCAGGGCAGTGCGCTGTTCGTACGGACCTCCGTTTGGGGTTCAACTTGCGGCAGAAGCTAGATTGATTTGTTTTATCTGTTCCAGTTTTGTTTTTCACATACTGCTTGATCACACGATGGCGATGAACTATTCATATAGTCATTGTATTCCGATACATACGTTTTGCTTCCTGTAATATCTGCTTCTTGTCGCTTGTCATACTCCAGAACATCCAGTCAACCAATTGGCAATCGATGCGTTTCAAACCACCACCTCCAGAAACGTCCATCGGTTGGCGCGTGGAATTTCGACCGATGGAATTGCAATTAACCGATTTTGAGAATGCCGCCTTCGTCTCCTTTCTGTTACTCTTGTCTCGAACCATCTTGCGATTAAAGCTGAATCTGCTTATTCCGATCTCTAAGGTGGACGAGAACATGAAGACGGCTGTCACACGTGATGCAGTGCGGAACGGTCTCTTCTACTTCCGACATGGGCATATGATTACTACAGGTATCGATTGATTGATTTTTCCTCACAAGCCCTTCGCCGGTGTCGTTTGCCAGATTTTTACTCACCTAAGTGAGGGCTCTCTTGCGTGGCAGGTAATATCCGTTTTTCGAGTTAGTCTGTGACTTTCTGAACTCATTCATTTTAGGCGAGCCTATCTACGTAAGCCTCTTAACTATACTTGAGCGTTTCCAGTGTCTTAGTGGAGCCTCTTTCGACGTCGAGCTTCTGTCAGTCCGTTGACATCATTCTCCTCTGGTCGAATTTACTTAGCACGTCTATGTGGGAACATGTTTTACCGAGTCCTCACTTTTCCACCTTGCAAACTTTTCTTCGCATATTTTCGCCTTTTCCCCCATTCGCACAGACGGAAGTCCCATAGAATGGGCTATGACCTGTGCAAGATTTCGCCGGGGACGATCCTACTCTGTCGGGCAGCCCGACGACTCTCCCGAGTCCAGTGTGGACGAATCAGATGGTCAGTGTTTGTCCGGTAGCCGGAAGAAGACCTGTCAGGAAATCAACGCAAATACTGTGAACTTCGACCCTGAACAGACCTACACTGCAATGACGGTGAACCAAATCATGAATGGTTGTGTGAGTTTAACACGATTTTATTTCCTTGCGGGCCTACAGGGTGCTGCAATATGAAGCATCGCGTGAGCGTTACTGTGATTTTCGTTAGGGTTGAAACGAATGTTAGCTGGTTGATAATAATTAACAGGTTCGAGTTGTCATGTGGGTTTCTTCACCGATCCCTTTATATTTCATTTTTCATCACAAACAGGGCGATTGAGCTATTTAACACGGTTGTCTTGAGACAGGTTACTTACTGTCTATTTCCCTCGGTATGTTGTCGTTAATATCAGTAGCACTGTGGGTTTGTCTGCGAGAAGCTGCAGACCGAATGTCATTTGGTCCCACCGATTACCTTACCGTTCACTGAGGGTAGGGAAAATAAGGAAGAGGCAAACCAATCATTAGGCTATCAGTGTTATTAGTTCGTTGGCTCTGAATCGTTCTACTCTTCTGGAGGGATGGAATAAAATAGTGTTGATGTAATCAACGACCAAAAGGTGATCAGGCCATGAATCCACAGTTAAGTCGGATATCACAGAATAGTGAATTTAGCACCGTTGGTAACTGCTATCTTTGGTCGTTGGATGAGTACCTCCGATCGCGACGCGGGGGTCCCAGCCGCTGATGTACAGGACAATTTAATGGCGCGCTTGCATCAAAGTTGTCGACTTAGGTGCAAATCTATGCCAATCACTGCTCTAACTTAAAAGGTGAACTGTCTGTGTTTGGCACTGAGCCCCTTTGGCACTATATGATCTGAACAAACATTCAGGCTCATCGGGTCGCTAAGGTCGTCTGGACAGCGCACGATTGGTTTCGCCAGCATAAACGAGAGATTCAGGTGAATTTCCCATGCAAACCAAATTGGTATGCAAAGGAGTGTGTTTGTCAAACATCTAAGCTGTTTATGTAGAACAAATCTTCTTTTAACACCGCCTCTACTGTCATTTGAATCCTGTTGTCCTAACTTCACTGAAGTAACTCATCTGTTTCTTTACTCTGTTAAATCCTAGGACACATTTCCTGGCCTGATTCCCTTGGTTCGACACTACGTCCATGTAATTGGTGGAGAACCTTCGGTTGTTTGTCTTGTTCATCAATACCTCAATTTGCTACAGCGCCGTGCTTCCGGTAAGAACATCCCCTTAATTATTCGGTCTCGTTTTCCACGCCCATTCGTATTTTTTCGTCTAGTGGGGATATCGAAGGAACAACGCTGAAATACGTCGAATGGTTTTTGCAAGATATAGCTAGCCCATAGTAGATGTAATGACCACACTTCATAGGTTTCGCTTGTTTGGCCGTTTGCTCCATGTGTCAGTCGACTGACTGTATCGGAAGGCCCTTTCCACACAATCACACGGAGGGAAGAAACAAACTGGGGGAGGTCAAGTAATTACTTGACAGCGAAGTACCAAAGCCATTACTAGTAAACCGCTCTGGTCATTGTCGTCTTGCTGGACGGAGACCCTGAGACGGAACTCATTAGTGGTTAGAAACGTCGTTCTCAATGGCACGCATTCATTCATTTCATAGCTTCCCCAGCGATGTCTCCAATAAAAAATCCACTGCCACTTGAATTCATACGTGAATTATCTCACCTACTCCCTCCAATGCGTAGATATCCACTCGTATTATTCCAGGTCATCGACGAATAAAACTGCGGTAGCCCTGACCGCTGTGCAACATGTGTACGGTTTTTTAGAGCTATAGATGGTGATGATGACTATCATTTTTCCTTTTGTTTTACTCAATATATATCCATCGATTTTAGTGCTTGACCGCAACACTAGCTAGTTGCTTTTACACGTTCCTCCAAGTCTGAAAGAAGACGGTCCCCAACGTAAACATTATTGAACCGTAATTGGCCATGTTTACCGCCGTCCTCCATGATATCTCTCGATGCTAATCTTTGATTTCGTATATGTACACGTGTATTTTTCTCGCAGTAGTCTGTCAGCTAAGCATCTTACCGTCTGGTCAGACTTCACCTTAGTACCTGAAATAGTTATCTCATATCCTTTTACGGACTAAAGTGAAGCCTGCTGAATATTAGTTATCTCTGTGTCGACGCACCATAGCGCATATATAGCCGAAAATCTGGGTCTATTGCTTTTATTACGTGTCTGTAACCATTAGTTGTTGCCACCTGTACATCCACACCTAGCAGTCGTGTTCTTGCCCACCTCTTGCCTGCCTAGGAGAACTCATGACTACCGCGGCCTGGATGCGATCTCGTATCAGAGCCCACCCGGATTACAAATTTGATTCTTACGTGTCCGAGTCTATCAACACAGACCTTATGTTGGAATGCCTTGCCATCACTCGTGGAGAACATCGACCAAGCGAATTTCTGCCGCCGGAAATTGATCACGATCCGGATCCGAACAGACCCTGTCGCTTAGATCCAAACTGCCTCCAGTGTGTGGGTACAAACAATTGCGCGGAAAACCATATTGCTACCCTCCCAACCAGCCAATGAACAGACATTTGGTTACCCAGAAAACTTCACCGTTGATCCTCGCTACTTTGTGCATTTTTCCAAGATGGCGCATGAATTTTTTAAAACATTTTTACGACATTTTTGCTAATTTCGTGAAAGCACCATCACACTACGAAATCAAATAACGCGCGATTTTAAATTTAATGTCCCTTTATCTTGCCCTTTACACACGCGCTTGTGGTTATTTTTCCATGCTTCTATTTCCAGTCGTTTGTTATTCTGATTCCATTTTATGTTCTATGCCTTGTTTCCCCTAATCACCTATTATTTCCCATCGAATTGCTCATTTATTGCATGACCACGAACACAGGTCTTTGTCTCACGTATTGTTGAATTCGACCCCTACTCGTCCGTCTTTTCGTACCCTTACTCGGTCTTAGTGATGGGGTTTGCGATAGGTTTGTGGACTGGTCTTCGAGATATTCCTCACTCGATGGGAAAATCTTTTTTTGCTAATAATTGTGACAGTCCCACAGTAGTGTGATGTCCACTGAATCCTACTGAAACCTAATAGAAAAATTCGCTGTACGACAGTTACTCACTTTTTCAGGTGGAGGTTGATTTTTATGCTTCGACTCTGGTTAGGTATTCTTGGTCTGAAGTGGTTTAGTTGCTTATATGAAGTGGAGGCCCAATCTGATTTCGTCAATTTCAAACATATCTAACTGTCACTCCGAAAATGCAGCGTCAACAATATTACTTCGCATCTGTTTTTATTCACTTTTCCTCTCGACGAAGCTGTTTTGTGGCTCAGTCACCCAGCAAGACATCATGTAAAACAAAGTAGTAGAATAGTGTTATTACTGACAATCTATCTTCCCAATGCTTTCAGGAATGCTTGGCGTGTTGGTCTCGTTTGACACTGGCTTTTTCTCCATCAGACCTGTGAAAGCAGACCCGATGACCAATGCGACAACCGCAGTCTAAGCGGCCATAGTTAACTATATCCGGGATTTTATCGGAACGCTTGCTCGAAAATCGTGTCCTGGTAGACAGTCTCCTCATAGCAGAGCTATATCTAGATTGCTGGTTGAAGCTGTCACCTAGGAAAAAACTGTAACTTGCTGTCCTATCTACTAATTCGCCAATCTTTTGTGACTGACTGCTGGCCTGCTCCAGTGCCTAGTGCCGGGAAAAAGACTCACAGAAGGGAAGACAACAGTTATACTCCGAACAAACAAGTGCGAGAGCGCGAGTGCGTACGATTGCGAAAGTAGGACGGTCTCAAGCTATTTACTGGATTCACACTGAACTTGGTCCAGTGCTGACGCACGCGGTCCGGTTCTGGTAGGATGGCGGGACGCGCTGCATATTGCGGGGGCGTTGTCTGACCTTGATCAACGCTGACTCTCGCTGCCTGGGTGTGATACAAGACAGTGAATCGCTGCATGTTGAGGGGGGCATTGTCTCTCTGGTCAGCATCTAGTGGAGCTGAGAGTCTCAGTAGATTTCGGGCACTCAGTGGTTGCTTTCAGAAATATGACCATCCTGTTACACATGATGTCTCCATGTTGGTAGCTCGGGTGAGTTTAACGACGGTTTATTCTGGTGGTAGTTGCTCTGTCCGCTGAGCTCGGTAACTGAGTCCCAAACATTTCGTCATCATCTATACATGGTCAGTGCGTGGCTGAATAGTTCTTCATTCAGAATACAACCAACTTCTTGTCATGTTTAACTTTTTCGCTATCGGAAGACTTTGGTGTAAATAAATAAATTAACGTCAACCACAGAGTGTTGTTTAATGTCTTCGAGCATACGGGATCCCTAGGTTCTCAGCTAATCAGTCCCTTACTGAAGAGAAACTGAAGAGACGAGAAAGCTGAGCAGGTTGTGTACAACTTACACACGAAAGCATTGATTACTAACAGAGGAATGCCACAAATGAATTTCTAAATGACCTTTGTGTGGTGCATACGAATGAATAACAATACAACGAGAATCTTGTATGAGTCTCGCATTAAACTCATCTTAGTCTTCACACGACTTGATACGCAATGGGCAGTTATAATGACTGATTTGGAACTCCATCAGAGGGTGTGAAAAATCACCTTCAAAGGGTCGCACGATGGAGTGCGCATTTTCGCTTCAGACAAACAGAGGTCAACAAAGTGTGGACGAACAACGGCGTAACACAACTTTCGCACATTTAGTCTAAACCCCACGGCAGTAGAATTTGATTATTGGCCGTGATTTTCGTGTGCCTTGTCCTTCGCTATGCGAAACCCCCATATGAAGGAGGAATGCATGACATGTCGCAGTGCCGTCAACGGGTCCGTGTGGAATTTGTAGGAGACAGGTTGCTGGTTGAGAATCCACCATACCCCAACGGTATGGTCATTATATCCCTTACAGTTCCATTATACAGTTGCACATACAGTCCCGTCATTATGAAAAGGATCTGGGGTTTGCAACATTAGCTTTCACAGTAAGTTGTCTTGATGGTTTGTGCTTTCGTGAATAGTCGCACAACAAAGTAGCTGCTCACAGTCAGTGCCATGATGGTATCTGACAACCATGGGGGTGGGTGGTTAGATGCACGCACATCTTTTGCCCTTTGTCCCAAGGAGGGCAAACTCAATTCATTTTATGCTATTACACTCTGTGGAGCCACAGAAATGATTTTCAAGTACTTCCACTACATTTTTCTTTGGATGAATTGTTTAATCACTCCCCAACCTCTTCCGATGGGATTTTGACCAGGCGAGTATGAAACCGAACATGCGAGCTGTATCGTCGTTTATCGAATGTGCGCTCTAGTCCACTGCAGTACTTGGCATTATCACAAACCACTGCCACGTTCCGCCTTTGTTGCACGTCAACCAAAGAGCAGTTTCGAATGCAAGGCAGGCCCCTAACAGAGTTCTCCTTTTTTTGAGAGGTCATAGAGATTTTGAAATGAAAATCTACGTAATATGTAGTAGACACGTTGGTGTCACGTTGATGTTCTCCAGCTTATGATCTAAATATCGTAGCACACCACATGAATATGGTTGATCACCATGCTTTTTGTATGTCAGAAGAGGGTACATTCTCAGGATTCTATCACACCGGTTGTGTATTACATGTATGACGAATAAAAACCTAATCTCAGAACCAGATCCACACTACTATTTTTTTCGATGACCCTTGAGATTTTCACAAACAGTCGGTGCTAGGCTCTCGCCCAAACAAACAGGGATTCCCTAAGGTTAGACTATCCGTCACTGTAGGAAAGCACCTAGTTTAACAGAAACTCAAATCCATGACCCTTGAGCTACCGTCCTTTGCTGTTCTTCAAGCTAAATCTGAAAGACAGGTTTCATACTCGAAATTGGGTTCTACGTTATTGAAGCTGGGAATAATTTATTGGCACTCTGTGGGAAGTTTGAGGCTCTACGCCCAAATGATGGATTTTGTGAGCATCTTTTTGATTCCGACTGATTTCTTTTTGAAATAGAGTCTCCTGCAGGATTAGTGTCAATTGCGATTGTTTTCCATCTCTCATGCAATGGTGTGTACAAAAGCACTGGTCACACACTGTTCACAATGGTTCTGTATCCAGTGCCGTATCAAGATTCGATTTAAAACTTATTGGAGAGAGGTATTCGCGAATGAGAGTTGGACCAAGTGGTTGGAGCACAGATTTACTGACCGGAAGTTCGGTGGCTCGAACCCGACCTCTGCCTCTCGACTTCCCCTGTCTAGGCTTGGGAGACCTGGCAGTATCCCAGCCCTTGTGCCTCCTTCGTGTGGCACGGCAGCCAGGCATCGAAAGGGTGCTACAGCTGAACGATCTATTCGCGAATGCGTGCATTACACCATTCCGGATTAATTATCGTCGAACCCCCGGAATTGACATACTCATGAGCCGAAATATATTCTCGGTTAGCCTGCATAATCATGGCAGTTGGAAAATATGTGTGTGCATTTCTCCATGTGTGCGTGTCTCTATGCTACACTTCAAAAACCGAGTGAATTGGGTCGTGTTGGGGAACTGACCCTGTCGTTAAGGGACGAATTGTCACGCGCAGTCGTTGCGAATAGTCATTCGATAGAGCGAGAAGTGTCATTAGGTTCCCATGTTGAACTTACAATATAAGACCGCAGGAACAAACAACCGAATCAGGACCTCAAAGCAACAATCAGTAGAAAAAACCTGTGGTTTGTATAATGAAGTCTTCCACCTCCTGTCAACGCTGACACGAAACAACACGAAATGCACTCCTTTTTCCACGAACACTTCCGACCAAACATAATTCTCAACTGTTTTTGACATTTTTAGTCGTCCACTTTGGTGGATATCATCATCTCATTCGAACTGGATAAAGCTGGACCGCGTTTCATAGAGGTCAATCTTTGAAATGGGCCAGAAATAAATCAGTCGTGAATCAAAGTTAACCCGGAACTCATTTAGCAGGCCAATGCAGAACAGGGTGAGTAAGTGACACACATTTGTCCACCATTTTTAAAGAGGATTTGACTAAGTCTGCGGTCAAAATCAGATTGGTGTGTAACTGGGTGCATTTCATACATGTCACGTTCTCTGGGATAATTCGCCAAAGTTCAATCAAACTAGGGTCAAAATTAAGATCCTCCACATCCAGCACCAAGTGTGACCAAAAATATCGGGTACCGAAAAGAAACAGTACACATGCAGCTTGGACCCCAAACTTCAAGTTTGGCTAGTGACTTGCGGAGTGTTTATCCCAAGCTTGACTAAGATTCCAAATAAAGTCTTTCCTTCTGACTACAGCTCAAGTCAGTGTCCTCGGTTTACACGCCTGTTATAAACTCCAGACTTCCGGCCTACAATCTGCGAATCTTCACTTCCCCTTTTACGTTCATTAGTTCATTGCCAAGCTAAAAACAATCGCGCTATCATTCTAGTTGTAGCGGTTCATTTGGTGGTCAACGGAAAATAGAAGGATTTGGTACGGTATTGCCTTAAATAAACACAAAGACACCGTCTATCAGCTACTTATTTTATGCTTACAATCGGGTAGACGACACTGGCTGACATTTGGCTGGTCGAGCCATCATCAGTAGTCGACTAGCTTGATTCAGTCCTGTATTTGGTCTCAGCTAGTCTGTCAACACTTTGTCTGGTTGCGTGTTTCCAGCATAACCTACCCTGGAGCAATCCATATATTACCGTAACACTGTTGCGAAGTATGGATGGCTCGGTTCTGATGCCCATTTGCTGATTTCCTGTTGGTTTGATAGCCCATTTGGCGAGCCTGGTGAAGAAAAAACAACCGGACATATTACTACTTCGAAATGGATCCTAATCTGACTGCATGTGTGCATCAATTGTTAGGCAATGTGTGCCTGAACAGGCTTGTTTTTTATATGCGCGACTTTAGTTCACATGTGAAAGTGTGACGTGCACAGTTATGTCACGCCGAATAACACGAATACCGCAAATCCGTGGCCGATTAGTGGCACGCTTGAAAACCGCGTTTGATCACATGCTCACGAATTCCATGAAGTTGTGTGTTTGTCGTGATGCGTGTTGATCGGTATTTGTTGACTTGTTGA